TAAGTGACTTTGCTTTTTCAAAAAAATCCATGGCTGCCTTAGGAGTCATGCTCCAAACTGGAACCAAACAGGTTTAACTTTTTCGCACCCTTGTACCTGTAGAACGGGAAAAAGCTCCCTCAGCTCAATGCCTGACGCAGTAGCCAGGAAATAGTTAGCAGTCTTTAATGGGCGAGATTATAGGCTTATCACAGAGGTGTCGAAAATGGCTTGCGTTTGGTGGTTGTGGCAAAAAGTTGAGCCAAGGCTAACTTCAAAACTGGGCAGCTGCTGCTGCTCAGGAGAATATTTAGGCCTGTTGGTTTGATGCGACACTGGATTTGGTCCTCCACGCAGCTGCAGGTCCTGCCTGGTGATGACATTGTGAACAAATGTGTCCAGCTGCTGTCAGTAAAACAGCAGCTGCCATCCTCCTCAAGGGAGAGGCCGATTTCAGCAGCATGTATAAAGCACCTTCTGTTCGCCACATTCTAAGAACGCGTGTGGTGTTACGCTTAGGAGCTTCCAAATGTTAATGATTTCCTCTTCTACAAAGCTGCATGAACACCGTTCATTTAACGCACATGACTACAGTGGTGCCTCGGGTTACATATGCTTCAGGTTACAGACTCCGCTAACCCAGAAATAGTACCTCGGGTTAAGAACTTTGCTTCAGGATGAGAAAAGAAATTGCACGGCGGAAGCGTGGCAGCAGTGGGAGGCCCCATTAGCTAAAGTGGTGCTTCAGGTGAAGAACAGTTTCAGGTTAAGAACGGACCTCCGGAACGAATTAAGTATGTAACCCGAGGTACCACTGTATTGGGAACTGTAGTTTACACCCTCAAATTGTTGTTATTATTATTACATATTAAATTTCTATACTGCCCTTCATCTGGTATATAACAACACTAAAATACATGACATAGTAAAGGTCAGAGGTGGAACTAGCTGCTCCGGCACCAGGGGACGGGGCCATTGGGGCAGGGCAAGCATCCCAGGGGGCGAGACACTTATGGGGGGGTGGAGTGAGCCCCCCATGGCGGACTACTTCCTGGGCGGAATGGAGGAGTCGCACCGCTTTGCCAGCAGCCTTCCTCCCTTCCCTCTTCCTTTTGACAGCTCAGGGGAGGCTCCCCCCCCCCCAGAAGCAGCCCGGGAGTGGGGGGCAATGGCACACTGCCCGCCTGTGACTCCCAAGCCTCCCCTGAGCTATCAAAATAAAGGGGGAAGGGAGGAAGACTGCCGGCAAAGCGGCGTAGCTCCGCCTCTTCCCCCGACGGCTCGGGGTAGGCTCGGGAGTTGCGGGGGGGTCACATGCTGAATGTCACCCCCTCAGTGATGACACCCGGGGCAAACCACCCCCACCGTCCCCCCTTCCTTCCCCCCAGGTAAAGGTAAAGGTAAAGGACCCCTGGAAGGTTAAGTCCAGTCAAAGGCAACTATGGGGTTGCGGCGCTCATCTTGCTTTCAGGCCGAGGGAGCCGGCGTTTGTCCACAGACATCTTTTCTGGGTCATGTGGCCAGCATGACTAAACCGCTTCCGGCACAGCAGAACACAGTGACAGAAACCAGAGCGCACGGAAACACCTTTTACCTTACTGCTGCAACGGTACCTATTTATCTACTTACACTGGTGTGCTTTCAAACTGCTAGGTTGGCAGGAGCTGGGACAGAGCAACGGGAGCTCACACCGTCACGGGGATTCGAACTGCTGCCCTTCTGATCGGCAAGCCCAAGAGGCTCAGTGGTTTAGACCACAGCACCACCCGCATCCCACATGACATAGTAACAAACAAAAACAATACCCCTTGGTACACACACACACAGTTTCAAAGGCCATAGTTTAATTAGCCAAAGGCCTGGGAGACGAGGGTGGAATCTACACACATATAAAAACCGTTCTGAAAATGCTTTTTTAAAAAGTGTTTTTAAAAAATACATTGAATTTTCCATTGGGCTCACAGTCGCCATCTAGTATCACGTTGTATATTGCACTTAAAACACGCGTGAAATGTTTTATTTGCAGCTGTATAGCTGAGTCCGAGGGGTCTTTTTGCCTGGCACCTAAAAATATGTAGTGAAGGCACCAGGTAAGCATCCCTGGGGAGAGCATTCAAACAGGGAGCCACCACAAAAAAGGCCTGTTTTCGTGTTGCTGCCCTACAGACCTCTCATGGAGGCGGCACACAAAGAAGGGCCTCAGATGATGATTTCAGGGTGCGCGTCTGTTCATATGGGGAGAAGGTGGTCCTTGAGGTATTGCGGTCCCGAGTCATTTAAAGCTTTATAGATCAAAACCAACACTTTGAACTGGGTCGGGAAACTAATTGGCAGTCATTACAGCTGGGCCAGGATTGGTGTTATATGCTTAGACCATCTTGCTCTGGCATGCAACCTGGCCACTAAATTCTGCACCAGCTGAAGTTTCCATACCATCTCCAGAGGCAGCCCCACATATAATGCTTTGCAGTAATCTAACCTAGAAGCTGCAAGAGGATAGAGCTGCAATCCCCAGCACCCTCAAACTACAGTTCCCTGGAGGCGATGCTTTCTGCCCAGGTGAGAGGTCATTGGTTCTCATTTTGGGAGCTGGAACGCCATTCACATACTTGTTACATCCTATGGAACTCCCTGCCACAAGATCGTCATTGGCTTCAATGGTTTTAAAATGGAATCATGTAAATTCATGGTGGAGGGTGTGTTTTATCCCCACATCACCCCTGGCTTGTAAGTTAGGCTGAGAAATAGCAACCCGCTGCCCTAAATCACCCAGTTAAGCTTTGTGGCTTTCCTCCCACCACAGAGAGGTGAAAATTTCACTGGGCTCGTGGTTGGAGGAAGATTTACACTTCCTTTGTCACACACAACAGCCCTGATCCTGCTTCCCCCACCCCCAGGACACACACCCTCCTCAGTCGCACCCTCCTTGAGTATTTTTGCCTGGCAGTAAAGTTTCCTAGAATTCTGATGACATTCCTTGCTTACCTGGATGGAACATAGGGAGACAGGTGTGTGCAAAAATAAAATTTAGACCCATTGCCCCACCCACAGTTGCTTCAGGCCCTGCCCAGCACTAGCGTGTGGCCCCCATAAGGTTTCTCAGAAGTGAATGTGGCCCTCAAATCCCTGATTTAATGTCATGCCCAGTTTACCTTTGAGACAACTTTTTTTTGTTAATCCAAAAGAAGACATGTGATGTTTTGCTCTAGTACAAAAGAACAACAAATGGTGCATTTACTAATCACATTCCATGCAACGCGACACAGACAAGACGTGCATTAAAAACAACGGAGCCACTTCCACTCGTGACCTTCTTTTCTAATTAAGGATTTGGTTTAAGACATTCAGCTTCCATAATGGCGCTCTTGAAAGCGGGGTCCTGTTAGCAAAGTTCCCTTAGCAGCCACAGAAGAGGCAAACTGTCTGAGCAAATCAAACAGCACCTGGCTCTCTGTGGATTCAAATCAGATTAATAATATCCTTGTTCCCCATGAGTTAGCATTGCTTAGCTTCATGGTTCTCTTCCCCATACCGGACGCAATCAGAAAGTAAATTAAGGCACTTACAGTGAACCAAAACTTCCCGCGTTTCCATGGAAATGTTCCTAAGGCTCAGCTCTAAGTTAACCGGGCTGCTAAATACAAATCCCTTTGTTGCCAGCAAGACCTTTTCCAGTGCAACCCCCACTCCCCCAGGGGCTGCCTCCTGTGTTTGCACCAACATGCTCAGTAACCTTCCACCCTGCAGAATGTGTCTTCATGACAGCTGATGTCCAGTTCCACTTTGCAGGCTCGCTCAGATCTTTAGTAGCAATATTGGACAGAAAGCAACCGTGCATGTTCAGGTTTGTTTCTGTATTTGTACATACTCTCTTCCCTTGGACCAGCATGGGGATAGATAGATAGATGATAGAGAGAGATAGATGATAGATAGATAGATGATAGATAGATAGATGATAGATAGATATAGATAGATAGATAGATAGATAGATAGATAGATAGATAGATATAGATAGATGATAGAGATAGATGATAGATAGATAGATAGATAGATAGATGATAGATAGATAGATAGATAGATAGATAGATAGATAGATAGATATAGATGATAGAGATATAGATAGATAGATAGATAGATAGATAGATAGATAGATAGATAGATAGATGGAGAGAGAGAGAGAGATGATAGATGATAGATGATAGATAGAGATAGATAGGTGATAGATAGATAGATAGATAGATAGAGATAGGTAGAGAGAGAGAGATGATAGATTAGATAGATAGATAGATAGATAGATAGATGATAGATAGATAGAGATAGATAGATGATAGATAGATAGATAGATAGATAGATAGATAGATAGATAGATAGATATAGATAGATGATAGATAGAGATGACAGATAGATAGATAGATAGATGATAGATTCAAGAAAATAATACAGCAGAACTGTGGTTCCCAAACTTGTTCTTCCCCCCAGAGCACTTGAAAATTGCTGGTGGTCCCCCCCCCCCGCCTGTTGCAGGAATTGTAATGTGCTGTGCTAGCTTGCTGCATGATTCTTTATTGAAACAGAGAGGACAGAAATGGACAGATCCCTCCATCCTTACTGCCAGATGACCCTGTGTATTTGCTTGCTCAAAGTTTACAGGGTGTTTGGACTAGGTCAGCTTTTTTTATTGAGCATCCATTCTGATCTGTTTGCAGGGAGGTGCACTGCGTCAAGCCACTGTTATCCCACACTCTCTAATGCATTTCCCCCTTCAGTTTCCTTAACGCAAAACGCAATGGAGGGAGGTAATGGGTTTGTTATGGAAGAGCACCAAATCAGCTTTAATTGGGCAGCCAGGTAATGTGATGGAACCCCACCCAAACAAAGCTGCACCCTGGAAGCACCTGATGTTATGCACGGACCCAGTCTCTGAGTGGTGAGAGGTTTCAAGGGCCCTAGCAGGTATCTTGGGTTGGGCTTCCTTGGAATGAAAGTCACAACTCGCTGGAATCTTCTGGCAGCCGAAGGACCTGTAGCTCAGTAGTAGAGCACCTGCTTTGCATGCAGAAGGTCCCAGGTTTGAGACCTAGCATCACTGAGCTGTTGCCAGTCAGTGTAGACAACCCTGAGCTACAGGGACCAATGGTCTGACTCTAAGGCAGCTTCCGACGGCATTTCTCTGCTATAAGGTTTATTTATACCAGGGATGGGGAGCCTCCAACCTGCAGGGAAAACATGACTTGGCAGGGGCTTCCCCAATGGGAGCCTTATAGTGCATTGGCAAGAGAAAGCAGGCTTTGACTCTACCTCCCAGATGACGCCTGTCGGATTGGGTGGAAGGGAGGAAGCACAACAGTAGGTGGAGCCAGAGCCAATGGTAGACAGAGCCAACTTATGGAGTCATAGAATCGGAAGGAACCCAAGATACAACCCCCTGCAATGGAGGAATCTCAGCTAAAGCATCCAGGACATATGGCCATCCAACCATTGCTTAGATACCTCCAAGCAGGAGAGTCCACCACTTCCTGAAGGAGACTGTTCCACTGTCAAACAGCTTCAGAAAGTTCTTATTGATGTTGAGTCGTAATCTCCTCTCTTGGAATGTGAATCCATTGGTTCTGGTCCCAGGTTCCGGAGCAGGAGAAACCAAGCTCATATGATTCTGGTCTGGTTCCTAGCCTTCTCCTTGCTGAGTTCTACATGGGCAGCACTGAGAGTAAGGAGGAAACTGACAGGCAGCACCACTTCCTAACTGGTTGTAAGCAAGAAAGTTGGCAGGAGGCTGAAGGTGGGCTGACGTTGTTGATGTTAGGATATAGTTCCGTTCCATCTTCAGAACAGGCGTGTGGAGTTGTTGTATGTCACATGTCTGTTTACTTCCAGCACAGTCTGCTGGGAACTTCCGTTGTATATAGCTTTTGCCTATGCTGTTTGCTCGGACACGAAAGGAAGCAGACATGTTTTCCCTTTGTCCTGATGCTGAATAAATGCTTGTAAATATGCTTACATATGCCTCTGTCCGGGATGCGGGTGGCGCTGTGGGTTAAACCACAGAGCCCAGGACTTGCCGATCAGAAGGTTGACTGTTCGAATCCCCACGACGGGGTGAGCTCCCGTTGCTCGGTCCCTGCTCCTGCCAACCTAGCAGTTCGAAAGCACATCAAAGTGCAAGTAGATAAATAGGTACCACTCCGGTGGGAAAGTAAACAGCATTTCCGTGCACTGCTCTGGTTCGCCAGAAGTGGCTTAGTCACCGGCTCCCTCGGCCAATAAAGCGAAATGAGAGCTGCAACCCCATAGTCGGTCACGACTGGACCTAATGGTCAGGGGTCCCTTTACCTTATGCCTCTGTCCGCTACTTCTGTTGCAAAGAGTTCTTATCTCTGCTATCTTGCGTGCTCAGTCTCTAAAGGTCTCTGAGGCTTGAGTCGCAGTTTTGATGCTGTTCTGAGAACCAGAGTTCGCCCGGCTGCTGGCCGGTGGGCTGGAGCCAGCTGGGGGCCTGCCAATTGCCCCCGTCTCCCCAGACGCATCCCAACAGTTGGGACAGCACCCCTTTCACCCTGACAGATGAACCTCCACTCACCTTTTCGAGGTCTCTGGAGGCAAGTGCCCACTGCTGATATTTAGAATCCAGATCATAGTCTGCAGCCTTCCTTGGTAGTTGACATCATGTTGCTTTGGGGCAGAAGAAGAAGAAAGGAGAGAAGGGGGCAGTTGGGAGGCTACTGAAGGTATTTTGATATTGCTAAAGGGAAACGTCAAATGCCTTCGTAGCTGCCAGGTCAGCCGTTTACCAATGTGGATTTACAAATATTATTTTTCATTCCAGTTTATCCCGCATTGCAAGGCAGCAGACAGCTGGCGACTTCAGGCTGGGGGCCAGATCCCTTTTACATGACTCCTGGGGGGGTTCCGCATGGTGTGCTCCTGTTTCAAGGCCAGGCTGTGCTTGCTCTCAGAGGAAGGGCCCACGCTCTGAAGAGTCTGCAAATGATGCACAAGGCAATATATGCATGCAACTTGAAAAGAAGAAAATCGCCAAGGTCTGCTCATTTTCCATCACTGACTGTGCCCCTACTTGCCATGGGGGAAAGGAGCGAAGATCTATGCAGGTCTTGCTGACAACAACCGCAGCCACTGAAAGTTCTGCCCAGTGCCCTACCTTGCTGTCAAGGTTTTCCCAACTGCTGCCTGTACTTGGCATGAACAGCTGTTGGTTCAGCTTGCTTTTTAATGCGAACCTATCTAATTTGCGCTTCCCCAAACAATATGCTAGCTGAAACACAGCTACCCATTGAACCACAGAATTGTAGAGTTGGAAGGGACCACAAATGTCATCTAGTCCAGCCCCCTGAAATGCAGGAATCTTTCACCCAACATGGGGCTCAAACCCACAACCCTGAGATAAAGAGTTTCATGTACAGTCATACCTCGGGTTACAGACGCTTCAGGTTGCATTTTTTTGGGTTACGGACCGCCAAAACCCGGAAGTACCGGAACAGGTTACTTCTGGGTTTCGGCGGTCATGCATGCACAGAAGCGCTAAATCGCACTTTGCGCATGCGCAGAAGCGCCGAATTGCAACCCGCGTGTGCACAGATGCACCGCTGCAGGTTGCGGACGCTGCGGGTTGCGAACGTGCATCCCGCACGGATCACGTTCACAACCCAAGCGTCCACTGTACTACCAACTGAGCTATCCCAGGTCTTCAATGTGTACTTCTCCAGAAGGACCCAAGTCCAATTCTCCAACCAAAGAAAATGTGTATATTAGGAGGAATGCACATCATATCAGTGAATATAACATGCAGAAATGCACTGTGTTGCTGAGAATTTCTTGCAAAAGATGTGTATTGGGAGAAATAAACACACTAGTGGACAGCTCAGTGAGGGTGTCGATCTAGTGTGCAGCAACTGTGAGAGAGGCAAAGGAAACAAACTGAAAATAAAACTGCCTACAGTGGTACCTCGAGTTAAGTACTTAATTCGTTCCAGAGGTCCGTTCTTAACCTGAAACTGTTCTTCACCTGAAGCACCACTTTAGCTAATGGGGCCTCCTGCTGCCGCCGCGCCGCCGGAGCACAATTTCTGTTCTCATCCTGAAGCAAAGTTCTTAACCCGAGGTACTATTTCTGGGTTAGCAGAGTCTGTAACCTGAAGCATTTGTAACCTGAAGCGTATGTAACCAGAGGTACCACTGTATATCACAACGCAAATCTATGGGGGAACCACCTTTGGAATACTGTGTACAGTTCTGGACGCCTCACCACAGAAAGGTCATTGCAGAGTTAGAAAAGGTTCAAAAAAATGGCAAAATTATTAAGGGGGTGGAGTGGCTCCCCTTTGAGGAAAGCTTGCAGCGTTTGGGACTTTTTAGTTTAGAGAGAAGACAAGTAACAGGTGACATAAGTTGAAAGAATTATGTGCAGCATGGAGAAAGTGGAAAGTGCTCTCATAATGCTAGATCTCACGAACATCCCCAAAAAAGCTGTTAAATTATGGAACTTGCTCCAAAAGGAGGCTGTGATGACCATCAACATGGATGGTTTTAAAAGAGGTTTAGACAAATTCATGGACATAAAGGCTATCCATGATGCCTGTGCTCTGCTTCCTCAGTCGGAGGCTGTATGCTTATGAAAACCAGTTGCTAGAAACTGCAGGAGGGGAGAGAGCCCTTGAGCTTGTCTCCTGCTTTCAGGCTTCCCACAGGCATCTGGTAGGCCCATGTGAGAACAGGATGCTGGACTAAATGGGCCATCGGCCTGATCCTATGTTCTCAAAATGCAGACAAATTTTCATTAGGACTTAAAAAATAATAATCACAAACTAATGCAGAAATGTAGTGAACAGAATTTAAGTTCAGAAGATCTGAGAAAAACTAGATGGGACATAGTTCTACTTATAGGTGGTAGCCATGTTGGTCTGCCGTAGTTGAAACAAACTAAAAAAATTCCTTCCAGCAGCACCTTAAAGACCAGCTAAGTTTGTTATTGGTATGAGCTTTTGTGTGCATGGCATCTGAAGAAGTGTGCATGCACACGAAAGCTCATACCAATAACAAACTTAGCTGCTACTGAGGGACACGGGTGGCACTGTGGGTTAAACCACAGAGCCTAGGGCTTGCTGATCAGAAGGTCAGCAGTTCGAATCCCCGCGACGGGGTGAGCTCCCGTTGCTTGGTCCCTGCTCCTGCCAACCTAGCAGTTCAAAAGCACATTAAAGTGCAAGTAGATAAATAGGTACCACTCTGGCAGGAAGGTAAACGGCATTTCCGTGCGCTGCTCTTGTTCGCCAGAAACGGCTTATTCATGCTGGCCACATGACCCAGAAGCTGTACGCCGGCTCCCTCGGCCAGTAAAGCGAGATGAGCGCCACAACCCCAGAGTCGTCCGTGATTGGACCTTTACCTTTACTAAGATGCTACTGAATGTGACATAGACATGCATCCCTAACCTCTCTAGGACCAAATGAGCTGTGATGATGGCAAGGTGTTTCAGTTGCAGATAACAAAGCATTGGCAAGACTTCTGCTCCATTTGGGCCAAATAAATACTTGGTACATCACTTTTTGTAGCAGGAATTTCAGCCAGGCTCACCCGCCACCATAGAGAAACAAAAGGTTGGTCCAAACTTTCTTCCTGCTGTTTTTTTTTTTTAACAGTATGAAAAATGTATCCCCCCCCCCTTCCTTTTTTTCTTCTTCTTGCAGTCCTTGGAAGAAAAAAAACCCCACAGTTATCTTCTTCATTTAAACTGCTCTCACTTGACCTCTCTGTCAGTCAGGGGATTCCTGAGGAAAACAGTGCTCTCAATTAACTTCGCTTGGCCTTGATGACATCATCATGCAAACCGCCTGATTGGCTATGTAATGTCATGACAGCACCCCATTCATTGTGAGATCCCTGACTGGTTGAGATCACATGTGTGATTAATAAGGAAAGGAAGAAGACGCAGCGGCCAAGGGTGAAATGGAACTCAATGGGGTCGGGGAAATAGGTGAGAATTTGCACAAGCTAAGCATTTTTCGGGAGACATTTCCACTCAGTGTAATAGCTAGTTTTGGCACACATCCCCACCCCAAAAGCAGAGAGTTATTTGATTCAAAGACACACACACACAAAAGTGCTTTTGTTGCATGAGGGAAGTAGATATATAAGGAACGTTTGGCAACGCAGCGTACTTGACACAATCATCACCTCGCAGAGGAGGAAAATTAAAACAAGCCGTCTGGAAACTGAACTGGCAGTTTTTGAGAACCTGGGTCATGAGTCAAAGCACAAGAGCTACATAGCACTTGCTTGGATTAATCATGATTTAATTTGCACAAGCTTGATTAATCTTTCATTTATGCAAGAGCTGGAGATGAGACTGAATTGTTAGCAGCTAGAGATGAAGGGAAATGAGCAGAACGGCCAGGAGTGCCGATTAAATGCTGGAAGGCAAGGTACAGAACACCTCCGAGAGCCAGCAGAACATAACCTGAGAGGTGTGTCCCAAGATCCCATTTGACGTCACCCTGGAATTGTCATTTTAGCAGATGAGCGAAGCGGCATGGAAGCCGGTCTCCAATTACACGCTGCTCAAATAATTCAGAAGAACGTCGTAAGAGAAGTGCTGCTTGATCAGATGAAAAATCCATTTAGTCCAGCATTCGGAAAAGGTTGAGAACCGGAACAGGGCACTAGATGGGCCACTATTTGGCTCCAGCAAGGCTCTTCCTTGTTTGAGAATTGTTCACTGCTGGGTTTACAACTTGTCAGAGACTAACAAGTGTGCCCTCGGGGGAAGTAGGGCTGGAGTCTGACTCGGGAGAGGGGGGCAGTGGTCTGTGGGGACCTGTACTGGCCAGGAGGCAAGAGGCAGAGGCAGGAGATGTGTCAGAGCTGGAGGAAGAGGAAGAAGAGGCAGGACATGTTGGAAAACACCCTGGGGTGCCCCTTCTGCAGCCTTTGAACTCCGAGCATCCTCCGGTATGCACAGCGCTGGAAAAGGCATTTCCCTTCTTCTCCAGAGCGCTTCAGCAACATATAAACATATATCAAAAAATATATGCACACTAATCTTCTAGCATAACACAGCAAGAAGTGCGAGATATCATAGAGTTAATCTACGTATTTCTTTACACACTATGTACACACAAGGGACGTGGGTGGTGCTGTGGGTTAAACCACAGAGCCTAGGACTTGCCGATCAGAAGGTTGGCAGTTTGAATCCCTGTGATGGGGTGAGCTCCCGTTGCTCAGTCCCTGTTCCTGCCAACCTAGCAGTTCGAAAGCACGTCAAAGTGCAAGTAGATAAATAGGTACCACTCCGGCGGGAAGGTAAACGGCATTTCCATGCACTGCTCTGGTTCGCCAGAAGCGGCTTAGTCATGCTGGCCACATGACCCGGAAGCTGTACGCCGGCTACCTTGGCCAATAAAGCAAGATGAGCGCCGCAACCCCAGAGTCAGCCATCACTGGACCTAATGGTCAGGGGTCCCTTTACCCTTTATGTATAGACAAAGGAATCATGGCACCCTCTCTCTCCAGCTCTGAGAGAAGAAACAGGAACAAGTAAAAGCAAAAGTACAGTACAATAGTACATACAGCAGAAGAGATAAGACTGTCTTCCGTTCCCACACTCTGCCCAGACAGGTGTGTGATTTACACCAATCTCATCTGCAGCATCGGAGGCATGAAATACTAACAGGTCAGGCAAGTGAAGAGGGCTAGATGCTTCCCCACCCTCTCCTGCACCACGCTCTCCCAGAACCAGGAGGGGATGGAAAAGGGATGAGCAGAAGAAGTTTCCAAGCAGGCATAGTCTCTGGCTGCAGGCAGGCAGCATGTCAGGGGAAGGAGGAGTGGTCCCCACTTTCTGCATCTGCTCCATAGAGCATGGACCTGGGAATAGCAGCCTAGACACTAGATTGGTGTGCGTAGGTCTCCAGAACTGTAGAAGCAACTGTAAGTGTTATATTTGACAATAAAGTTGCATGTCAAGTCCCCGAAGCCACCCCCTCATTGAGAAATAACACACACAAGGACACAGATATTAGGTTAATGTTATTGGGCAAATTTTGGCCACAACTTTATTGATTACAGAATGTGAGCGGTATTGGCTTAGGCATTGAATGGACCCGACTATATCTGACTCCTGCCCGATGCGCAGGAAGTCCGGTAAGGGTAAACCACTGGAAGGGGGAGCCCTGTTGATGCAGACCAACTCAAGCTCCCCCTGGTGTTCCTGTTGGAGTCGTGTCATGGCCCTAGCCTCTAACCTGGGCTTCGGACAAGATTAACACCCCCAGATTCCTTTAACGGAATACCCTTAAACTTGGAGGGGCAGGTGATGGCCACACATCCCCTCCCCCATCACAAGGTCAAACAATGCCTAACCGCAACCCTAACAAAGTTGTGACGATTGCTACGAGGTGGGCAAAAACCACATGGCCAGTGCCAATTTGCCAAGTGGAAAAATTCCTACCAGGCCCCTCAACGGCGACCAACCAAGGTCCATAGCAAGGCCAGTGCCTAAAACCTGCAAAATAGGGAGGGAGGGCAGGTGATTGAGGAAGTGACCCAAAAAGGAAGCTCTCCGACTCGCGCCTCAGTTTAAATGATCCCGGCCACTCCCCCCCCCCCCAGCCAGCGCATTGACTGGCCGGGCTCTGACATGGCCAGGATTCCCCAGGCAATGGGGGACTAAGTCCCCCCACCCCGGAGGGGAGTGGCTGGCCATGCAGTCCACCGCAACTCCTCCCCACTGGGAAGTAGAGCGGATTTATTGCTTCCACACCCTGCATTGGGGCTTCCTGGAGGCATTTGATTGGCAACAGTAAAAAAACTAAATTGGCCATTCATCTGAATAAGCAGAGGCTCTGTTTACATTCTTACTGAAGATGACAATGATATAACAGAAATATGTCTGTACGTTATTTATTTGCTTGCATTTATATATACCATTTATATATACCATCTTCCATCATGATTTCCAGGTGGTCTCCCATCTGAATAAGGACGGCTTTAGCAAAGCGGTAACATCAAATGCCTTCAAAGCATACCCTGGATCTACACTTTATAATAGGGATCAGGAACCTGCAGCCCTCCAGATGTTGCTGGATGTTAATTGAGAATTCAACAACAGACTGAAGACTCCATCAACCCAATGACAGCTAGTGGGCCACAAATCTCCCATGCCTACTCTGTAAGGTCTGAAGAAGCAGAGTTGATACAAGCTGAGCCAGTAGGCTGATTCAGGTGAAGGCAGTTATTCAATATCATCTGTCTCTGTCAGTGGTATATATTGTTCACTCAACAATCTTCTCTGGCTTCCTGAATTTCCTTCGCAGAAGAGGAGGAGATGGGGTTTTTGAGAGAATGGAAAGAAAAGGTGGGGGTGACAAGGGAGTGTCTTACAGGTTCCCTCTGCTAACAATAGCAGAAAATCTGGAGAGAAAAGTTCTAAAGCACAAAGAGTACCTAGGAAATGAAGATGCATGGAACAGGGCAGTTAACTAGGTCACTAAAAAAAAACCCCAAACAATAGAAATTGTTGTGCTGACTATAATTCTTACACTTGCCGCTTTGAACGCAGGTCTGTCACACTAAATACCTTGAAAACAGCATCGTCTGGCTGTGCTTTTTGCTTGCTGCTTAGTAAATTATTCCCTGTTCTATTCCATAGGACAAAGACACGTCCTATGGAATAGAACAGGGAGTAATTTACTAAGCAGCAAGCAAAAAGCACAGTCAGATGAATTTGCCCATCGACTGCATACAATTTATGAACTGGGCTCAAGTTCATGAAAGCTTACGCCATCATAAATTTAGGGTGCCACAAGACTTTTTCTTGAACAGGGGAATCTATTGTTGGCATGTTCAACATCTACAGTATCTCCCAGAGGGTGTCATGGACTGGTTGGGTGCAGACGAAGGGTGGGAGGCAACAGCTAGGGAACCCCCAAGGGAAGAAGGCTCAAAGCCCCAGGACTGGTGATGAGACACGATGAGTGGTCAGAGGGAGAAGAGGGAAGGGGAAGAGGGCTTGCTGAGAAGGGAGAGCTGGGCTTGCTGAGAAGGGAGAATCTATGACAGAGAAACGTTCAGAAGCAGGATGAGGGAGGCCAAGAGGCAAAGCTGAGTCAGGCTGGTGTAGAGTCACTGGTGTCTTACCCTCCTGCTGCAACAAGCTACCCCCTCCCTTGTCTCCTAGTACCAGAAAAGGCATGAAGAGGGCAGAGGAGAGGTTGGCTTCATGCAGGCGCAGTCTCTGATTGCTTGGGGAAAGCCCTGGAGAGATGGGAACTTAGACACTGTGGGGAGACGGGAACTTTCAATCTTGGCAACTGATTTGTGGGGCAAGACCTACAGAGGATGAGCTGCTGTGCTCATCAGGCCTGATATTCAGCCAAGCCTGTGCAGATAATATTCTTGCTAATAAAGAGCTAACTCCAACTTGGGCAGTGTGATTTACTGCTGGCTCACTCCTGTCTGATGGCAGAGTCTGAACTTAGGTCAGCCAGTCGCCAATCCCAGCTATATCTGATGCCGGTGGACTCATGCAATTCCTTTGTGGCATGGAAAGATTTCTCAAAAACACCCGTCATCTGGGAATACGCCGGCCACAGCTGAACTACGCTTTTCATAAAATAACACGGTCTTGAATATTCTCTGTATTATCTGCCATCCCCATCATCCTCCTTCCCCCTCCTTCTCCGCAGACTACCAGAAGAAACATCTGTGATGCAAGGAAATAACATGTCAAAATAGAAAATGTTGAAGGGCGGAAGGAAGGAAAGAGATCCCAGCAGATGATGCGCTTGGTAAAGTTATGCGATCTGTATTGAATCTGTGGGAGGAACAAGCCCAGAGGAGTCGTGGCGGAACTTTATCTGGAAAGTGAGGAATGGGGCGAGAGTTGGAAAGAGACAGAGAAGTTTGGTGTTTCTTTTCTAAAGCAAGAAACATTATATTTTAGGAGGAGTGGCATAGCTCAGTGGTAGAGCATCTGTTTTGGATGCTGAAGGTCCCAAGCTCTATTCTCAGCATCTCCTTGTAGGACACCTGTCTGGAGAGCCACTGCCAGTCAAAGGAGACAGCACTGAATTAGCTGGACCAATGGCAGATTCTGATCTCTTTTGGTGGGAGATAGAAGAGGAGCTCAATGCACAAATCATTTGTGAGCCCAGTTGCAGTAAGCCTGGGGTTGAGGATAGAGGCACAGAAAGCAATGAATGACATAACAACTTTATGGATACAGTGGTACCTCGCAAGACGAATGCCTCGCAAGACGAAAAACGCGCAAGACGAAAGAGTTTTCTGTTTTTTGAGTCGTTCCGCAAGACGAATTTCCCTATGGGCTTGCTTCGCAAGACGAAACGTCTTGCGAGTTCTTGCGAGTTTGTTTCCTTTTTCTTAAAGCCGCTAAGCCGCTAAGCGGTTAATAGCCGCTAAGCCATTAATAGCCGCTAAGACATTAATAGCCGCTAAGCCGCTAAGCCGCTAAGCCGTTAATAGCCGCTAAGCCGCTACGCCGCTAAGCCGCTAAGGCGCTAATAGCTGCTAAGCTGCTAAGCCGCTAATAGCCATGCTTCGCAAGACGAAAAAACCGCAAGACGAAGAGACTCGCGGAACGGATTAATTTCGTCTTGCGAGGCACCACTGTACGTAAGGCGGTTTCAGCTTAGGCATTGGGTTTGTGTCCTGGAACAGCCAACCTGGTTGCTGGCTGATAACTCCATCAGGGTCAGTCTTGGGTTAAGGATCCCCATTTGACACCCATCAAATACGGGTGACTCCTCCATGATGCCAACTGAGGCCCATTAGCCCCCACCTGGGCATATGGACAGAATCCTTCCCCTTGGGACCCTTTTGCTGTGCCACCCACAGCCTCTTTGAGCATAAGCAAACACAAAGGCTATTTTCCCCTGTCAAAATCTGCTCTGCCTCTTTCTCCAATACTTGAATCTATATCCAAAGAAACCCATTTTCCAATAGCTATTTGTCCTTATTATAAGGTCAAAATGGCCAGATCCTTAAAACGGCAAAGAGGATTTTATACACTAGGCTTAAAAGGTAAAGGTAAAGTGACCCCGACCCTTAGGTCCAGTTGTGACCGACTCTGGGGTTGCGGCACTCATCTCGCTTTATTGCCTGAGGGAGCCAGCATACAGCTTCCAGGTCATGTGGCCAGCATGACTAAGCCGCTTCTGGCAAACCAGAGCAGCGCACGGAAACGCTGTTTACCTTCCCACCAGAGCGGTACCTATTTATCTGCTTGCATTTTGACCTGCTTTCGAACTGCTAAGTTGACAGGAGCAGAGACCGAGCAACGGGAGCTCACCCCGTTGCGGGGATTCGAACCGCCAACCTTCTGATTGGCAAATCCTAGGCTCTGTGGTTTAACCCACAGCGCCACCCTTTACACTAGGCTTAGGATGTCCCTATTTTCATCGGAGAAATGTTGGAGGGGTATGGAGAGCCAAGAAGATAAGTAACTATACAACCTTTAGAAGACATCTAAAGGCAGCCCTGTATAGGGAAGTTTTTTAATGTTCATTATCTTTAGTAGAACGGCACCCTAAGCGAGGCCAAAATTTGCACCACCTTAAAGACAAGCGAAAGGGAGTTGATGGAAGGGGGGCTCAGAGGCTTCATAGATGCCAGGGGAAGATGCTGGCATTGACGACCCCTGCTGTAGATGACAGAATCTGCTTGTGCCGCTCAGAAGCCAATATCACACAGAGTACTATAAAATCGCCCCCAAGAGAAATTGTTTGCTGGAGCAGCTGGAAAATGTTTACTGCAAAGGAGGCGGGGGGTGGGGGTGGGAAGAGAAAACACTGAAGTTTCAAATTAGCTCGAACTTATTAATAAAGTTGTCCATCTGCTGCTTACACATGCCAGTTTGTAAACAAGCCCATCTTAAAAATAAAAAATTAAAAAATGCTCATCCGTGTTTGATCATTTGTGTGCTGTTGCAAGTGCAGCTGCAACCTCTTGGCCAACTGGATGACAGCTGCCTGTCATTCTTTATTTTCAAAGCCTGAAAAATGAAAAGGATCCTTTTGATGAGGCCTAATTCTTTTGCCGTTTCTCCTTTGCTCTAAAAATAACAATAATAATAAACTTGCACATTTTCAGAGCATATGTTTATACGCACTTATAAGTATTTGCTTCATTATTTTACCTCACAACTTCTCTCTCAACCCCCCCTCCCCCATATGTTCCTTGTGGCAAGAGGTTAATCACTATATTTTCCGTCTTCGGGAATTATATTTTCAAAAACGTCAGCTGCCTCATTCTATGCAATCCTCCAGCTTTCCTGCTAATGTCTGAAAAACATTTTCACACTTGATATTGAGGAAAAGCAACAGAAGAGGCTAAAAGCTGCGTCCCAGGAGGTTGGGTTGGTTCCAAATTGCTACAGCTAGAAAAACACTCTGGTGCCCATGCACACACTCCATGCCACATAAGGTTACACAGATTTTAATGAGGCTCCAGGTGGAAGGAGCGTCGCACGCGGTAATAAAGGCATGTAATATTGATCTGCTCAGAAACCCGGGTTGCTCCCTGGTTACATTCAATAGCATAACCGATTCTCACAGGAGCTCTGCGAAAGCTTTAAATTAAAATACTGAAAGCAGGTGACAGTGTAAACATGATAGCTTGTTCACTCTGAGGCTGGGTTGCGCTGTGGAATCAGAACATGCCATTCACACCCAAAGAATGCAAATATTTGAACTGTTTTGAATGAGGGGGGGCATTGTTTTTAAATGTTCATATTGTTTTCATTAGGGCTGAGACGCAGGTGGCGCTGTGGGTTAAACCACAGAGCCTAGGACTTGCCTGGGGGGGGGTCACTGTTTGTGTTTTGGTGGTTGGTAAAAAATAACATATTATTTTTTAAAAAACAAAACATGGATGGTTTTAAAAGAGGTTTAGAAAAATTCATGGAGGTAAAGGCTTTCCATGATGCCTGTGCTCTGCTTCCTCAGTCGGAGGCTGTATGCTTATGAAAACCAGTTGCTAGAAACTGCAGGAGGGGAGAGAGCCCTTGAGCTTGTCTCCTGCTTTCAGGCTTCCCACAGGCATCTGGTTGGCCCCTGTGAGAACAGGATGCTGGACTAGATGGGCCATCGGCCTCATCCTATGTTCTTAAAATGCAGGCAAATTTTCATTAGGACTTTAAAAAAGGGAAAAAAGAAATCACAAACTGATGCAGAAATGTAGTGAACTGAATTTAAGTTCAGAAGATCTGAGAAAAACTGAATGAGCTGTAGTTCTAGTTACAGGTAGGTAGCCATGTTGGTCTGCCGTAGTTGAAACAAAATTTTAAAAAAATCCTTCCAGTAGCACCTTAAAGACCAACTAAGTTTGTTATTGGTATGAGCTTTCGTGTGCATGGCATCTGAAGAAGTGTGCATGCACACAAAAGCTCATACCAATAACAAACTTAGTTGGTCTCTAAGGTGCTACTGAGGGACATGGGTGGTGCTGTGGGTTAAACCACAGAGCCTAGGACTTGCCAATCAGAAGGTCGGCGGATCGAATCCCTGCGACGGCGTGAGCTCCCGTTGCTCAGTCCCTGCTCCTGCCAACCTAGCAGTTCAAAAGCACGTCAAAGTGCAAGTAGATAAATAGGTACCACTCTGGCGGGAAGGTAAACGGCGTTTCCGTGTGCTGCTCTGGTTTGCCAGAAGCAGCTTAGTCATGCTGGCCACATGACCCGGAAGCTGTACTCCGGCTCCCTCGGCCAATAAAGCGAGATGAGCACCGCAACCCTAGAGTCGGCCACGACTGGACCTAATGGTCAGGGGTCCCTTTACCTTTACAGATCTCATACCCCGCAAATGTCCTGGGGAAAAATGGGACATCCCTTTTTTTATCACAAGAAAACAGTGAGCATTTGGGTTTCATGATCTTGCACGGTCTAGCGGTGCAATTACCCTCCACTTTTTTCAGGGCCACGATCTCGCACAGAGCCCCGAAATGTGTGTTTTTGGGCACTGTGCCTGAAAAAAGTGCGGTGGGGGGACGACTGTAAGAAACCCGCTGTATAAAAACATACACAAATAGAAAAAAAACAAGGGTTCAGGCCAGCATACAAAGATACAATATGTAGGCAAGCAAAGTACAACGGATGTATTTGTCACAATGTACCCGCTATTACAAGCCACGCAGTGCATACACGCGGTGCTCCAGAATCATCAAAATAAGTACAATATTACACTTAACTGTATATTTTCATTATCTCTGATGCGAGAAAATTCTTGGAGCAGCTGTAGCAAACAGGACTGGAGCCTGGTGATCCCAGCTTCGAAGAGAAAACTCCTCCTTCAGCCTGTGAAGTTAACAAGCTCCCACATCGGGGGCAAGTTGAGGCAGTTGCTACATGCTGGCTACTGAGGGATACAGCTGCTCCGCCTCTTCGAAGAGTTTTCTTGCATTTTTTCTGTGTATTGATCTAGCCTTTGTCGAGGGCAATCGAACAAGTGAATTGTAGCCTTCTTATCTGTACCTCCTGACCTTGTACAGTGGCCATGTGTCCTACTTTACTAAGGACCAGCAGTGGAGGAAGCTGCTCAGGCGTCTGGGGCGTGGCAAGCCGCCCATAGGGGCGGGCGCACCGCAGCGCCTCCGGAGTCTGCCTGCCTCCTCCCACTCAGCCGCCCTACAGCTGGGAGGCAGCAGGCAGACTGTTTGGGCAGCGCAGAGCCCGTGTGTGCCCAAGCCACTGCGTCTCTCCCAGGAGTGACGCATGGCTCGGGTGCTCTGCAGGCCCCATGGTGAGTGCTGCCCGGCATTTTGTCACCTCCCTCAGTGGTGACACCCGGGGTGGCTCGCACCCACTGTACCCCTCTTCCTCCGCCCCTGCTGAGGACAGTCCTCTATTTATTTATTTTTCATTTAAATTTTATTAACATATAAAACACATACATATACACTTACGCAATACACACAACACACTACCTTATTTTCATAACATAAAACATACCTACATTACTCTATATAATACCTACCTATACTGTACATATCAACATACCTACACACCTACACCACACCTACCCACCAAGTGACTTGACTTCCAGCCGTTCTTGTTACGCTACTTTATTTTTCCAACTAGCTTAAATGCATTTCATTATTTCTTTAATCTCTTCTTCTATCTTGCCTTTCTCTCCTTTCACTCTAATAATTTTCTGGATTCACTCAATATCTGTCAGAAATTCTACTTTTTCCACATAAATGTTGATGTATTCCTTAAAGATAGCCCACTCTTTATTCACTTTTTGTACCATACCTCCTCTTATCCTCCCTGTTAGTTCGGCAATATGGAAGTATTCCATCATTTTGGATAACCAGTCTGTTTTAGTTGGGACGCTGCTGCTTATCCAATTATTGGCAATCAATAACCTTGCCACCATAGTTGCATACAGTCTGACTGTTCTTTTTATTTCCTCTGACATGATACCTAGGAGAAAGGACTCTGGGGTTTTTCCAAATGAAAATCTAAACATCTTTTTCAATTTGTTATAGATATTTTCCCAGAATCCCACTATCTCTTTGCACTCCCACCACATATGTAGAAAGGTTCCTGCCCCTGTTAGGACCTGGGCCACAGACTGAGGAGGCACCCTGGTCATTGCCTTCCTTTACTAGTGTGAGATGCACTGCATTGCTGTTCAAACTGCAGCAATCATTTCTAAATGTGCATCTATGCACGTAAGTTAGCATTTGCGAATTCTGTGCCGGTCTGTGTCCTTTCCTCCCTCTCTTTTGGTTGTGAGTTTCCACTTCTGGGATGATGCCAAACAGTCAGCCTCCTCTTCCTGCCCTCATGCCGTTTGTCTGTTCTCCATTGCTAAATACGCCACCCACTTCCTAGGCTGCCTTTCTTCTAAGGCCATGGGCTTCTTCTCTGCAAAATCTGATCAGGCTAGAGAGACAGTGGTAGCAGGACACCCTGTACTTGCTCTGCTGCACTGTGACATCAGGGCAGCTCAACCAATCACTGTCAGATCCCCTCGTGCATTACAGTAGAGATTATGCTATCATACACATAATCACCTTGTTTCTCATCTTTTGCTGTGCTAAAGGAGCGAACGTTCCCAGCCAAAAATATAGTCCAGTTCCAAGATGTGCTGCTGATTTATATCTTGGGATGAAATATGCATTTTGCTATCTGCAGCAAGAGATTAATAATAATGCTTATGAAATAGTGGCACAGAGATTGTGAAATAAGTGCTTTGCCAGGACAGTCTATTATATCACTGCAAAGCGATCTGATTTCAAGCCCTTAATGTGTGTGTGTTTTTTTATTTGGGAGACTTCAGAGGAATATATATTGCATTGTAGCATCATTAAAATCTTACTTGTAGAGAAATACAAGCCTAGCAAACTCCAGGTTTACTAAAGTTTCAACCTGGCTGGCATCCATCATGGGGAAAAAATACAGTGGTACCTCTAGATATGAATGAGATCCGTTCCGGAGCCCCGTTCGCATCTAGAAGTAAACGTAACTAGTGACGGCACATCTGCGCGCGCACGCGTCGCTTTTCATCGCTTCTGCGCATGCGTGTGAAGTCATTTTGAGCGTCTGCGCATGCGCAAGTGGTGAGACCCGGAAGCAACGCGCTCCGTTACTTCCAGGTTGCCGCGGAGCGCAACTTGAACGCGCTCAACTCGAAGCGTATTCAACCCGAGGTATGACTGTAGATGTGTGTGCTCTATAGCACATGCGCAAGCTCACCGGGCTAAACAATGGCTGGTCACTAGGTGTCAGCACTCACAACAGAACAGTACACACACCCCAGGGCTGCTCTTAAGTGCATGTATAGCCATATTCTCCAACCTGGTGCCTTCCAGCTGTTTTGGACTACAACTCCCATCACCCCCAAGTTATAGTCCAAAAATTGCTGGAGGGCACCAGCTTCAGGGGAAGACTGATAAGCAATATAACTTCTGGCAATGGTATGGGCCAAACATTACTACATCCAGTGCTGTTAGAGTGAATGCTGCATTTTTAACCAGCGCTTTTCTTCTAGAAAAAAGTGTGCCAATTCTGCCCACCCTTGAGTATCTCCGGGGGGGGGGGGAGCACTGAGTACACCCCTCCACCACAACTGCTTTGAAACCCAGTGAAGGAACAGAAACTGCCCTTCAACAGAAAAGAAAGCAATTGGCTGACATCCATCTTTCCAAATTTGCACTACTGTGGATTTTGCAATGCAGTTTTCCAGCCATGTACAAAAATTCATATACGCTAGGGTAACGTGTGCCCAAAAATGCATATACCAGTGAAAATAACATGCACAAATACATTGTACAGTATTATATATTGGGACATCGCATACAAAAATGTGTATATAGTAGGAGAAATTTATACTAAAATTCTGGTGAATATTCAGGATGACTGGTGCGGTAATAAGGAGAACTGAACATTTTTTTAAAAAATACAAAGTGAAGGACCCTGAAATTGATAGATTTGCCTATCCTTATGAGCTGGTTCATAATTTATCAATCTGGAATGCTGCAGTATCAGAAGAGACCACATCAGCAATATGGTATCTATTGCTTTATTTCCATTTATGAATCACATTCCATAAAATATATCGAAGCGATTTTACAATTTAAAAAAAGCAATAAAAGCAATGACACCATTTAATATATAACAATTGTGAATTTATTTTTTCAAAATTATATATATATGAACAATTACAAACTCTTGTATATGTAGAAACAGTTGCAAATTCAATACAGATATAGGCTGGGATAATGATCTCTTAAAGGCTTGTTGAAAATGGAAGTGCCCTGAAAAATGGCACTTTCAACGACTCTTCTGGACTCACTCCTGATCCTTCAACAAAGGAATATTGCATGCAGAGCAGCCACACATCTCAAGGAGGTGATGGAAGATGGCGCGCGGAGGACCAGCCTGTCAAAAAGGAGAAAACAATCCATGATTCTTAACCAGAAGAGAACAAAAAAGTCATGAAATTGGCCCTCAGCTGGTGCTCAGCACTGGGACTCCAACCAACGTAATTGCAGTAATAGATGCTGGTGTACCTCAGAAATGAATGCGTGGAAGTTAAAAGAGAAGTAGGTGGCCCTGCATCAAATTATTTTTCTGAGAACGGGGGTCACATAGCAGACCTAAGGCAGCGGTTCTCAAAACGTATTTTCCCTTCAGATGGCTCGATTTATGTGATTACCGAGGACCACTTAATAGCATTCTTTTTTCCCCGGCTCTATAAGCCAAAGCACCGAAGCCGCATTTTAATAGCCATGTTCTTTGTCCTTCCAATGTGACAGAGGAAAAAATAAAATAAAATGTTCTTCATCATTGCCAAACGTGAAAACCATGGCTCTAAGGCAGGCTTCAGGAGAAGGGTCCCTTTATAACTAGTGCATGTTTAGAGGAAAAAACAGAAGAAAAGAATGCTGGAATGTTTTAGCTGAGATTAAAAAGGTAAA